AGCTGTATGACCCTTTTATTGAGGAGGATGATACTTTCACAATGACAGGAGATTCATGGATATAGGAGCAAGGAAGAGAGTGGCAAGAAAGAGTACAAGAGATGTACTTGTTTGACCAAGCAGATGTGGTGGTTCTCTTCATGATGCTCTTCTGGAGTTGAGGTTACTTCATAAACTTCTTGGACCATCCACATGAAGGCATTCATGCAGTTTGAAGGAATCGATCAAAGGAATTCACATTTCCCATTAACTCTACTAAATAATTTTGTTCAGGGACAGTTTTTGCTTGTTTCTATGGATATTTTTGTATTTTTCAGTTTGGTTGTTAGTGTCATAAGGCATGTACTGAAGACAGTCTTTCCAGGATGTCAAGACTTTGTCTTTCTGCATTCGCAGGAATGACCTTGCTCTGTGAGGCTGCTCCTCTCTGTTGTTGAGAGGTCCAACCATAATAACCTCTGTACGAGCCCTGTTGAATGGGATGGCAAATTTTGTGAGCTCACACTATGAATCTGCTAAGGTAGAGTCACCTTGGAGGAATCTGAGGGAGTAAATTAGAGCTCCAGCTCTGTGGGTGACCTCTAAAAAATAACTCCATCTTTGCTATCGTGTCCCATGACCCCCAGTACCACTGGGGCCTTCACGAAGCCCTTGTGTCATTGGGAAATTGTCAGGGCGTTGTGCTGCACCTGCCAGGGTGACTTTCCTGTCTGTGCAAAAGAGCCTCAAGGTAACTGTCTTTTGTGAGCAGTGGTAAAAGGGCACATGAAGCACTCTTCAGAGCTCTGGTTCCTAGTAAGTAGCCTCTGCATCCTGCTTTTCAGAGTGTAGTGTTTCTGGTGTGTCATACTATTCTGTCAGCAAATATCTTATTTGATAGGTAGGCTAAAGTGGAGGGTTTTTTTCTTCCTAAAAGAGCAAGTTAACAGTGAGCTTTGTCTATAGCTGAGGTGTGCCTCACAACTGAGGAAAGGATTGGAAAGGTGCTTTTTAAAAATATTTGTTCCTTCACTGTCCCGAGAGAGATGTGCCTACCGTTTTACTGGGTAATATCCTAAAGTAAAGTAAAGAGTTTGAAGCCTGCTTAGGTTTTTCTTTTCTGGGTGCTGTTGGCTCTTAGAGGTTGCTGTTTGTTGGGGATGAAGGTAAGTCCTAGATATGTCATTATTCTGGTTTTGTTGCCAGGACAGGTGCTTTTACCAGCAATCCTCTTGAAGGTGTTCGTTTTTCTTGTCAGCAATTTGGTATGTGAAAGTTTGAGTAGATCCAGCCTTTGAATATAAATCAGTCTGTTAAGCTTATGACAGAAAATACTTCTGAACATGTTTACTTTAAAAGCTTTAGCAGAATTTCATGATTTTGACTGTCATAATTTGTGACAGTCAAATGCATGAAAACTAATGATAATTGACTGTGTGTTTTTCCTTGTGATTGTTTTTCTATATAAAAATGGAACAAAAAATCAAAATTAGCTTCTAATTTTCCAATGATAAACAGATTTTGAATAAATTCAGGTGCCAGTTCTTTGATCTGACATGTGGGAACAAATCTTGGAGCACTAGTAAATGCTCTTTAGAAAATACAGGGCAATACAGAGGAAATACAGAAAGGCTGTAATCAAATAAATGGGAGGACAAAGCAGCTAAGCAAGAGAGCTGCAGCCCGTTGCTGTGATGAGGGGTTGTGAGTGCGTTTTCCTTCGCAGGTGGGAGCCTGTAAAGTCTATTCTTGAACCTTTTTCCTTTTCAGAAGTTGTTGTACACACATCAGCCACCAGTGACATCAGAACCAGAGTGTCTTAATGACTTCTAAATTGACATGGCTCTTTAGTAAGAAGGAGGTGTCTTCCTAATGTTTGGATTTAAAAGACTTTAGGAGGTATTCATCTCCCCTCTTGCAGTGGAAATAAAACATTTCACTGGAATTTGGGTGCTCTGCAGCATATTTGGCCTTGTGTTATTGGTGGGAAATCAGCTTAGAGTTGTCCCCTGCTGTTGGATGAGGACTCTATCTTTCAGGAGATACTGATCTGGGGATTTCATAAGAAATCCAAAGTTGTTTGTGTTTTGTATGACACTACCTGCCCCAAATTAGCTTTAGCAGCGTAAATTTTAATTTGATCAGGGAGATCCTTCTTTTATCTGTAACTGATTCTCTCTTCTCCACCTTTTTGTTGTTACTTCCTGCATGTGTGAAAGGGTTGTCTGCTCCTCAGCACAGGCATCAGCACAAGGGGTCTCAGCTGTTCCCGGGTTGTCAAGGTGTTGACTTGGCCTTGTAGGGGATGTTGTTTCTCCCTTTGGATTTGGGCTGAGTTCAGTGAATTTAAGGATGCTGAGTACAGAGCACTTGGCTGCCTTTTTCTGCATGCCTGCCTTAGAGGTAATTTGTGGCTCCCTACAGTTTATGGGCCTCATTTCAAAACTAATTTTGGTGGCTCTCACATCTGGTTAGTCCACTGTGGGAATACTTGCATCAGCCTGCATAGATGCTATTATTTTTTACATCTCTAAAATAGCTCCCCTGCTCTCTTCTAAGAGAGCCTGAAGTGGTGGCCTTCTGCTCCTTTGGGGCAGGTAGGTTTAAGCCGTAGAACAAATCATTTCTGTGCACTGGCTGTGGATAGTGCATGCTAAAATATATCGTTCCATTGTAAATGCTAGGAGTATTTAAATATATTATATTTTCTCCTTTCGCCAGTGTATTTTAAGGTTAGTTTTACTGAATAAAGCCACTTCAAAATGTCAGTTTTAGTCCCTCCGTATTCAATTCCTGTTTCTGCCAAAATAGCAAAATAGAAAAATTGAGTGCAAATAAATTGTATGTGATAAATTGTTTGGGTCATTTTTCACATATTTGAGAAGTGCTTGCATGTACCTGCACAGATGCATAAAGAAAGAGATGTATTTGCTCAAATATTTGTGTAGTACATGTTTCTGATTAGCAAAGGAAGTTTTATGCTAACTTTGATAGCAAAGGTGTTTACTTGAGAGCCAGCATGTTTTATAGTTATCAAGCTATGAAAATCACCATTCTCTATGAATATTCTTTAGGAAAACAGCTGAAGTTCAAAGGCAGTACAGAAACAAAACCTTGAAAACTCAGGTCACAAATCAAAACCTGCATTTTCTGAGGGCAGCGCTCGGCTGGAATGAAGGCAGTGCCAGCCCTCAAGGCTCCGCAGGGCACTGCTGCCCCTCCACGTGTGGTGGTGGGTAAAGGCGCCGGGCGGGGGGCAGCGGAAGGGGCTCTCCCCGTGCCAGCTTCGGAAGGGGCTCTCCCCGTGCCAGCTTCGGAAGGGGCTCTCCCCGCGCCGGCTTCCCAGGCGCCGCCGGACGGGGCTGCGCGACCTTCCCTCTCGCCGCCACCGGGAAGCGTGCCCTGCCTCTCTGTGCAGCTTGCGGAGTAGCGAGGTAGTTGCTGGGTGCCCTGAGCATGGGTTAAAAGAAGAGATTCTGAGGAATTAGGTGTCTTGGGCCTTCATGGGAACTGGTGTTGCCAAACTGGGGTTTCGTTTGGTCCATAGAGACCATCTAGGCCTGAGAATAAAGGAGAAACAGTAGATGATTAAACATCCTTTTCCGTGACAAATTCATTAGAAACAGATAAATGAGCATTTTAACAGCTACCAAATTTTATTACAAACTAATTGTGCAAGTTGAAACCTGTCAGCAAGATCTGATTTGTCCAAGATTTTAGCACAGAGGCGCAGCCAGTAAAACAAAAATAAATCTTATCTGATCTTATTAGGTCAAAACTGTATGTGGGCAGCTCCAGTTCAATTGAAGTGTTTTAATAATACTGTTACACTTTCACAATTTAACCTTGCCAAGTCTTGGGCTGGATTTATTTTAGTGACATATCGCAAACCTTTTTCCAAAGTAGTACATATTTAGTACTGTACAATGTAGTACAGTAAGTAATGTCAGAAATACTGAACTACATTTTTATCATTACTAGTGTATTTTAATGCACTATTTTAATAATTGGAAATGGGCACTGTGAGGCAGTTCAGTTCTTGAAGTGGTTATCCTGAACCACAGTTGATGCAGCTTTATTTTAATGTGTTAAATTCATTTTGACATTTGAAAGATTTTTGGATGCTGAAGGGGAAGGTGAATTAAAGGGAGGATGAAACAGAATGATTTCCTTCCTTCTTATTTTAGGATGATAATATTTACGGGAAGGTGTTTTTTTCATACTCAATGTGTGAAATGTTTATGTGAGTGCTCAGAGGGCTAGATGTTGCAGGTGCAGCTTAATGTTACATTAAGTGGCAAGGTAGTTCTGTTATTAGCTGCTTTTTGCTACACTCAACTAATGCAAGAGAGGTGGCTTTGCAGACACAGATCAAAATGCTGGTGAAGAGCATGCGCTGTAGGACATGCACTATCTTCACCTACTAAAAGTTTGAATGTCATAAAAACGTCATTGAAATAAAAAATAGATTTAATTTGGCTTTAAAAATATATAGTAAAAGTAGAAAAGCAGGTTCTGCCCGATACTTTTCTCTGGTATTAAACTTGGTTTGGTCTTGTTGAAAGTCTCCAAAAATGTTTTGGCAACTGTAGTGTTCTGAACTATATACGTGTAATTTTGTGTTGACTTGAGTCTAAGTCGTCTCAAAACTAAGGCAATCTACTCTGCTTTATTCAAAAAAAAAAAAAAAAAGACAAAAACATGGAAAAGTAATTTAGCTGCCACCATCTATGCATTCCCCAGCACCCCACAGTATGTTTGGGGCGTTTGGTAGTATTTTATAGCCTAAGATGAGGCGTCGTGAGCTGGAAGGCCCGTGGAGTGGTTATGGGTTGGGAGGCCTTTGGGGGCGCGAAGCCGCCTGAGGTGGTAGCAGAGCTTGCGTGGGACAGCGGGGGTCAGTCCCGCCGGGGGCCGTCCCATCCCTAGTGGCGTCTGGGAGCAGTCCCTGGAGCGGCTCCAAAACTCAACCCTCGCTTGGGCCTCAGGAAGGGCGTTGGGAGCAGCGCAGACAGCGCTGCCCGTCTCTCCGCGTAGCCGATTGCACCTACCTCAGAGGTGCACGTTACCCAAGGAGGTTGGTGCCCGGTCATGGGGACACCATGGCAAATTGCTGTGCCCCATTTGTTCTGTAAGTCTGGCCCCAGAAGGACACCCCAAGGAGGTTGGGGAGCTCTCCTTCTTTTAAGGTCTAGCACTGTCGCTTGCCCCTCAGCAAGCAAATACATTGCTCACCGAAAAGCTTTCTGGTGATTGTAAGGGATCATTTGGTGAAGCTGCATATATGCTGTGAAGTTTCTTTCTTCGCTCTTAAGGCATATTTCACTGAGAAATTATAATTAACTTATATAAGTTCATGCGGAGAGCATCTTGTACTTGTTTAGTTCTCCAGTGTGATTGTTAATGATCTGCTTACCACACAGTGACCTTCCTTTTACTTGGTTAACAGCCTTGTATGGAGCTTTTAGAGAATACTCCATTTTCCCTAGAAAGCAGGCAAGAATATAGTTTAAATAATACCTTGTTTATTTTGGCTCTCTTTAAATTGCATTCATTGTCATACATGTGGGTTTTTGGTATTTTTGTTTGTTTGTTTTTTTGATGGACTTCTCATGTCTCTCCTTGAATGTTATTTTGTAGTTAATTTCCTCATAAAAGTATGGAGGAAGCGTACTAATCTTCTGAAATCTTACAGTAATACTTTCAGATATTGCTCTAGAGGATGAACCGTTTCCTCCAGCTAAAAATACCGAGACAGCATTGCTTCAGCTTGCTTTGGAAGGCTTAAATGTATCTGCAATTATATAAGTTTCAGTTACGTGATATTTCATGGGCATCCATTTAAACATACAACTATTATTTTTAGTTGAAATATAGACTATATAAAGACTTAAAAGATGTGGGATCAAGGTGGACAACCTTGGCAGCAATGGCCTTTGAACCAACAGCAGTGGATGCAGTCATTTCAGCACCAGCAAGATCCAAGTAAGTCCTGAAAGCTTTGCAGATTTAATTTTATCTGTTGTAATCTCAATTTTAGAATATTCATTACCGATCATTACTGATAATTGCTTTATTATGTCTGCTTTCAAAATAATAGGTTTATGATGCTTTTCAGAACAACTTTAAAAATGGAATCCATACCTAGAGTTCTGACAATTTTAATACTTAATATGCAAAATAGACCTCTAACTGAGTTGCCTGGATAACCTATCAGCATTACACCGGTCATACAGACATGCATTTATGCCTCATGTTCTTTTACAGAATCTATACCCTTTTCAGTTCTTAGTCAAGCTAAATTATAACAAACCTTCATTTGGGAAAATCTGCCTTGTCATTCAGTGCCCGTGTGGCAGGATTTTTGATGCAGGCGTACACATAGAACCCCTATACTCACACCCTGGGGCAATTGATACAATATTTGTTTCAGGTTACAGTAGGGATGATCATGACATAGTTATTCAAAAAAAAATAGGTGGAGGGAGGTATGTAAACTAAAGCAGAATGAACAGATTGACTGGTTTTGCATTGTTATCTGTTGCTCAAATTTTTGTATAATCAACATTTGTTGGTTTGATAATGAGCGATAGACATTATCCTGTTGTTAGATGACAGTGCAATTTATTTACTACTGGTAGGAATAATGGTACATAAGACAGGTGGAGAGAACTGTAACATTAAATAGCATCGCAAAAAAGAGATGTTTTACAAAGAACATACACTGCAAAATGTTTTCTAGCTGTGCATCTTTCCTGAGATTGAATCTTTATTAATGAAAAATGTAAAGGTGTGTTTCATTCTGACATAATTAGTATAGTTTAGAGGAGGAAAAAAAATTAAAAAAAGTACTGCTACCATGCAATGCTAATGTGAACCTAAAATAATCTGCCTTATGGTGCTTCAAATATCCATGGAGAAACTCTACTTCAGCAAGTATGTGCATTTTCATATTTGCAACCAGTTTGTTTTATTGTGCACGGTGAATAAGTAACCATTGTGCTGGTGATACTTGCTGAAGGTAAATATTGCCTGTCCCTCTCGAGCAATTAGGCACGTAACTGAGAAGCAATGTCACACCTTCAAAATGCCAACACTAACCTTTTATGTTTCTCTGATTATTTTAGGCCAGATAGACTGGGCTGCATTAGCTCAAGCATGGATTGCTCAGCGGGAAGCCTCAGGGCAACAGAATGTAGTGGAGCAACAGGGAATGATGCCAAATGGACAGGATATTTCGGGAATAGAATCTGGTCCAAACAACCATAATAATTTTCAGGGGGATTCCAACTTCAACAGAATGTGGCAGCCAGGTTTGTCTTCCTTCCCATTCTTTTTTTTTTTTTTTCCTCCCCATAATTAAATGTTCTTTTTGTCAGGCTTATTTTGGGTTTGTGGATGTCCTGACCCTGTGATTTCAATATACAATATTAGCAGTAGGATCAGCTAATTAATCAAGTATTAGACTGCTACTCTTCAGTCAGTGTCTTGCAAAGTTTGGGTAAGAGTAGAGATACAAAGGTCTTATGACACAACTCACTAACCTCTATATAAATAAAAACCCTGTTTTATACTAGTGCTTATGCAATAGAGTTATTCTACTCCTGAATACTGTAGAATCATAAAGTGTGAATTGCAGTTATATATTTATTTCCCAAAATCTGTTCTTGCATCTTGCATGTCAGTGGTTATCCCAAAGCACTGGGACTGCAGCACTGAAGGCTGGTGCTCCAGAATTATAGAACATCTATTGCTCTCTTCTATAGCCAAATATCTACTTCTGGCATGATTTTGACATATAGAAAATGTTCAAAATATAGCTGGCAGATGCTGGTTTGAGCTTTCTTAGAAGTTTGAAGAAGGAGATGTGTGAAGGTCTGTGTATAAAGTGTAATTTTAAGACATTGAGCATATAGTGAGAGGTTAATATTTGCCTTTTTTGTCTTGCATATCTAATTGTCATACATAATTTTTCATTTATAAGTTGAAGCTGATTGAAAGCTGTGTTAAAATTGATTGCTTTCAGTTCTTTGCAACTGTCTCAACTTTAGTTTCTTTCTTCATAAATTAACACTGATATCAGGTGTGTGTTAAAATGGATATTTTCCACCAAGAATTTGTATTCTTAAAATTTTTCAGTGTGGTATGATGTGATTTGAAGCTTGTGAGGAATGTAGGTTGTCAGTCTGCCTGCATGCCTTCCATAGGCACAGTAAAATCATGTCTCCTGCTGCTTCTGGTAATGAGCGAAGTGGTAAAACCTCCAATTCTCATTGTAGCTCCTTAGATCTGCCTGAGTGCAGTACTTGATAAAGGTTAGTCTGTCCTTGTTAGTTCCTAAAAATTGGTGTAGTCATCAGGTTTCATTTAAATTTAACATCGCTGTCCTGGGCTGTAAGTTTTTGTAGCCATATGTAAGAGTTTATACTTCACTATGTAGTAATATAGAGAGCATATTCTAGCTGTGTTTCTGTATTATAAGCAGAAGTTTGCACAGTAGTATTTTGTCTGTATTGAACAGCTGTGTTCTTTGTGTGGTCCTGCAGTGCTGAGTCCTTCATCCCATCCTGCTTCATTTATGAGTTGAAAGAGAATAAAATCTGTGAAAGAGAATAAAATCTAGTGTTAGTTTGGCAAATAATCACGGGATGGTAGAAATGGAGAAGATGTTTTGCTAATGAGGGTGTTATGAGCTCAAGCTCCCCCAGAAAGTGGAGAGCAGGAAAGTGTCCACTCAGAATTAGATTAGAGAGCCAAAACATGTGATACCCTATTACTGTTTTTGGGTGTATTGTTCAAGGAATGGGTTGTTTCCTGAGTCTTTTGGGATACTCTGGTAAAGACCCTGCTGATGCAGAGCCAACCCAGCTTCCCCTAATTTAGACAACTTCACTCTTAGTTATAAAAGTAACCACAACAGTCAAACTACATCATATTAGCCAAAATATTCCTTCACATACTCACGCTATTTCTAGAAAACGTCATCTTCATATTCCTTCCCACTTTCTCAGTCTGCGTTGGATTCAGACGGTCCTGTGCACACTGGTGACAGCAGAGGATAACGGCAGTGTGAAAACCAACGGTGTAGAGCCAGCAAACAGTTCCCTTTGAAGGGTGCTGGGTTCCAGAAGTGCAGGCAGTGCCTGTCCTGTGCAGCTTGGAAGCTTCCAGTCAGAGTGAAGGGAACCAGGCATTTAAACACTGTCAAATATTAAAACATGTATTTATAAGCAGGAACTACTGTAGAACTTTCCCAAAGGATAAAACCTACTGTCCCGGGAGGTATTGGCTCTGGAAAAAAATGGAATAATCGGCTAGACGTGACTTTACAGGATGACTTTGAGAGTAAAAGGAGTGATAATCTTGGATCCTACAAATAAGGGGGCTACCAAGTAGATACAATATGTGATGCCTTGTTAGTAGTTACAGTAGTGCTGATGCTGACTATCACACAGGAATGAGGCAGCTCATTGATTTCAAATTTGAATAGCACAGAAGTAGAGAAAGAGGGACAGTGCTTTAAGAGTTGGTAGAATTTAAAAGTGCTGTGATGGACTCAAAATGCACAAATTCAGATTTTTTTTTTTCCTCCAGAACATATGTTCTGGTTCAGCTACAGCAATTTGTCTGTATTTCTCTTATTTGGCCAAGGAAGTTATTAATCAATCCAGTATAATGCAGTCTGCAGAGCAATGATTCTTCATAGCTTTACCATCTGTGTTTGAATTGAGAAACGTTGTATCTCATATAAATCTTATTAACTTCACACTGAACTGTATTCTAAATCCTGAACAGAATGGGGAATGCCTCACCAGCCCCCTCATCCACCTCCAGATCAGCAGTGGATGACACCAACCCCAGGACCGATGGAAATTGTTCCTCCATCTGAAGACAGCAACAGTCAGGACAGTGGGGAATTTGCTTCTGACAACAGGCATATATTTAACCAGAACAATCACAACTTTGGGGGACCTCCTGATAACTTTGCAATGGGGCCAGTGAACCAGTTTGACTATCAGGTGAAACATATTTGTTGCTTTAATACTGTAGACGTGCAGAGTCCCTTCCATGGATGTGTTCCGCTAATATCATCTAGCGGCGACTTTCGTTCTTCGGTTCTACAAACAACTACAGAATCTGTTATCTGCTAAGATACAATTTTACAAAATACTTTACAGAAGACGACATTAGAATTTTCAGTTTTACTTTGAGGCCAGATTTTTTTTTCTATGCTAGTAGTGAGAAATGGCTGCTGTGTGCAAGTTCAATGGTTTCAACTATATAACTAACATTATAAAGCTTTGCATGTATAAAAAGAAAAAAAAAGAGAAAAAGGAAAGTTCAGAAACACATAGTTAAATAGACTAGATAATGTACTGTACAGGACAGTCCTGTATTTGCAGGAAGATAGACTGGAGGGTCAGTTGATCTTTTCCATATCTATCTACTGTGATTTTTTTTTTTGAATAAAAATGGTATTTCTAAAAATCCACATCCAATTTTTCATCATTTTGATATTTAAGTTGTGTAACATAATAAAATTAGAGGTAGTTTTAACACTGATAATAAAAGCGGTCATTATACAACTCTATAAGGGCAGAATGGATCTTTCCCCAGTTTTCAACAGTACATTCAAAGCTCTTGAAATAAATGACAAACTGTTTTTTGGAACATCGGCCTCCTGTTCATAAACAAGTGCAGGGGAAGACTGACAGAGTCGTAGAAATGTGTTTCTATCTTCTGGCCTACTTTTTGCTATTACTAAATATTCATGTTCATCCATATTGTTAGGCAGGAGGTGATCTAATCACTTTCAAATACATTAGCTTATAATAACTTTCCTGTGTTTACTAATGGGGGATCAAAACTTAATTTCTCAAAACTCTCTAAATAGTACATAAGATTTGTTCCTCCCACAAGAATACGTGACCTTAAATTGTAGTGCAAGAATGCTTCTGCTATTAGTGACTTAACCTGATAGGGGATAGAATGTAGTAAAGAAATATTTGATGCTACAGCATTCTTCCTCAACACCTCTGTCTTAAATAGTTGCATTAGGCATTTCTGAATACCAAATACAACAAAAGCTAAACCTCAAGATTTGTGACTCTTGGGTTATATAAACCTTACTCAGAACCCAAGAGTCTGTACCAAACTCACATATGCGTATATTTATTATTTTAATTGACAATAACGTTTATTTTTACTGATAACATCCATGAATAATTACTCTAAAATGCACAGTGCCACGTTTTTGTGCAATAAAAACTTGACCTTTTAGTTTTTGACCTTAAGTTGTAGATGTAGGGGAACCAGACAAAACCTTTATTTTTGTTTACCCTTCGTTCAGCTGCATGCTCTGATGATAAACTGGCAAGAAATGGGTGGAGTTAGAGAGTCATTATAGGGCCTGATATTTAGCACAGTATGAAAGGAGATCATTTGAAGCCATTTCTGCCTTGTTACCATCCATGTTTATACTCTAAAAATGTTTTTCAAATCTGTAAATTAACTTCTTAAATACTTTTTTAAAATCTGTTTCTTGAGGACCGCAGGATTGGGAGCAGATGGGGAGATCTCAGTAGCCTAAAAATCATGGATTCCTTCTTGCATGGATTACTCTAGACCGACTTGCACACATGCTCATGATGTATATGGTGTTAAATGTGAAGAAAAATAAACTGCATTACTCTTTCAGCATGGGGCTGCCTTTGGTCCACCCCAAGGTGGATTTCATCCTCCTTATTGGCAGCCAGGACCTCCGGGGCCACCAGGGCCACCTGCCCCTCCGACACCTCCCCAGAATCGACGGGAAAGACCCTCGTTCCGAGACCGCCAGCGCTCGCCTATTGCCATGCCAGTGAAGCAGGAGCCTCCGCAGATCGGTACGTGTTAGCTGCAGAAGCAGAAAAGCACTTTTTGGAAAGAGATTTTATTTTAAAAAGAATTTGAAGACTTTGTTTTAATAAAAAGCTTTAAAAAAATAAGAGAAATACCTTGAGGGAGGGAGGGGCCGGCCTCTTTTCAGTGGTGGCCGATAGGACTAGAGGAAACAGCCACAGACTGAAGCATCAAAAGTTTCCCAGGAACTTAAGGAAAAATTTCTTAACAGTGAGGGTGACAGAGCCCTGGAACAGGCTGCCCAGAGAGGTTGCGGAGTCTCCTCTGGAGATCTTCAAAACCCGCTTGGAAGCAGTCCTGTGCCACGTGCTCTAGGTGACCCTGCTTGAGCAGGGGCTTGGACTAGAGGTACTCTCTAGAGGTCCCTTCCAAACTTAAGGATTCTATGAAAAGAAAAAACTATTATTTTGCACCAGTCTGCAATCTGGTGATTTGTTTGAATGGGGGTGGAGGGCTTGGTATCTTGTTATTTTAATCTTTTTTTTTCCATCTTACAAAACTGCGAACTTCACTTGTGTAGATGCTGTGAAGCGTAGAACTCTTCCTGCCTGGATTCGTGAGGGCCTGGAAAAGATGGAAAGAGAGAAACAGAAAAAATTGGAAAAAGAGAGGATGGAGCAGCAGCGTTCACAGTTGTCTAAAAAAGAAAAAAAAGAAAGCGAAGAGACTGAAGAAGGGGATGGCCCACGATTACCTCAGAAAAGTAAATTTGTAAGTAGAAAGCCTTTGTTCAGGTTTCTATTTCTTGAAAGGTGCTAACTTTTTGATCTCTTCAAAAGAGAGACTGTATTTCGGTTTGCCTCTTACTTAATTTAAGTGCGTGCAACTAATTCTTTGTTAATATTTACTTGATATTTAAAGTTGTTAATGGCTCACAGATAAAATTTTATTGCTTATTCTGTAATAGCAAAGAATGATAAAATTATGCTTGTTTCGGTTTTGTGTTCTGGGAACACGTATGGTCTTTAACGAGGGTGTGAATCCTAAATAAGGACCTGAACAAATTCAGATGTCTGTATTTGCTAAACTGTACCAATTTAAAGAGCTTTGTGTTACATTCACTTTAGCGTTTACCCCATTTGCTTGCAATTCTGACTGTTTGGCAGTGAACTGAGAGTTTACTTATCCTGTGTGGGAAGGGATCTGTGTATCAAAATCATTACTATAAATAGAAATTAATAAGCTTTACATCTTTTTTTTTTCCCTGAAATGTTTTTGTAGGACAGTGATGAGGAAGATGAAGAAGCTGAGAACACAGAACGTGTAAGTGTTGAGAAAATCAGCAGGAGTCCATCCCCAGCTCCTCAAGAGGAGCAAAGTGAACCAGAGATGACAGAAGAAGAAAAGGAGTATCAAATGGTATTAATAATCTAGTTCTTCCCAAGTATTTCTATTTGCCTTTTTTTTTCCTCCTTAACAGAATTTAATACATTTTTCTCTGACCGATGCTGTTCATTTCATATGGGTATAGTACACATTTTATAATTTTTTCCTTTCAATATAGACAAGGACATGAATTATATAACTCATATTTAGCATAGTAGTGGAAGAATAGAGTGACTGTGACCTTTTCTTTGACCCAGATTAATTCTCTTGTTTTGGTTAACTCTGCCAATTTCTGAAAACTTTTAAAGATTAAGTACATCCATCTGAAATCTATGCTTCAACCTCGGTTTCTGTGCAAGGAAGTTTTAAGAAGTGTGTTCTTGCAAGGAAAGGCCAGGAACTTTTCAACTCCTGGACCAGCAAGAGTTTCACTGTGTCTGGGAAACTTTTGGCTCTGCTGTCAGTTATAGCTGTAGAAGGGGGAGTTTCACGCTCGCATGAAAGCAGACATACCTCATTTTAGCAGTGAGAGTTAGTGATTGCTAAAATTCTGGCTTTGATATATCAAGTAGAGCAAAATTGCTGCATTTCATATACAGCTTTTCTGTTTTGTTTTCTGTTTTCCTTTAAGTGATATCTGCAGAAATAAAACATTAAATAAAATGTGTAAAAGAATACTTTCATAGCTATTAAAAAAAATGAAGCTGTGTGGTGGAATATAACTTGAACGACCGTTTTAGTTGTGAGTTTTTTTACCTTTAATCGTGTATAAAATTTTCTTCAGATGATGATGACAAAATTGCTGCTGACAGAGATTCTTTTAGATGTCACAAATGAAGAAATTTATTATGTGGCCAAAGATGTGCACCGTAAAGCAACTAAAGGTATGCTTTTTTTTAAAGAAAAAAGAAGTTTCCTCTGTGCATATTCTATATTTGCATGTCTCTAGAACACTTACCCTCTGTAGCTGTCCCCCAAGAACAAGCCCAGTTTAATGCATCCGACTTTTATGATAGAGTTCAAATCCAGTAATCATGTACTGTTGTCCTGTGCAGTGTATTGTGAGTTACTTCAGTTATTCCATTTCCTTCATATAATTCATTTATTTAGTTAAAATGGTGCCTGTGTGTCAATCGCTTTTGAGTTGTAGCCGTTTCTTAATGCTATCATTTTTATCTCAAGTTCTTAGCTGTTCAGAAGTGAAAAGAGACGAACTTTGAATCCTCAATTAGTAATTCTTCTGCTTTCACTATTAACATGTTACTCTATTTACATAACAAATGTTTTTAAACATAATTGAGTTAACTTTGTAACTATTGAAACTTGAAAATTATGATGTGCAGATGCTGTAACTTGAAAAATGTTTTATGGACATAGACGTGTTTTTTTTTTCTGTTGACTGTTAATTTGCAGTTAAATTCTAAATCTTCGTGGTCAGAAAATCTAGAATTGGTTTTAAATGGATGATGCGTTTTTAATGTTTCTTCTCTCCCCTCCAAGAACAGCAATAGTAGTAGATTTAACAATACCGTAGACTCTCATGACTATGAAATCGTGGCTATTTGTGTTAACATGTTGTTCCTGTTGTTGATGTGATACAAAGCTCCTGCAAAACAGCTGGCACAGTCCAGTGCACTGGCTTCCCTCACTGGACTCGGTAAGTATGTTCCTTATTTTGGAGAGGGCTTAAAGGGGGAGTCTCACTCGTGCCTTGCATTTCTAGAGATTGTATTCTGAAGCTAGATTTTAATTGCCCAGGACTATGGGTCGCTTTCGTGTAACTTTGTCATTACCAGCACCTCTGTTTGTTTCACAGGTGATCCTACTGATATCAGTGGGATGGTTTTTGGAATAAAGGACTAGTCAGTGCGAGTTAGTATATCAGAATCTTGCCCTAAGTTTGAAAAATACGTGAAAACACGAGCTAAACTTACTTTTCAATAAGATGATTGTTCCAGGAGCACACTGCTGTCTCTTAGAGCGAAGAATACAATTTCTATATTTTTCTCCTGTTTTGATCCACCCAAACAACAAAGAAAAGTTTATAGAACAATAATGTTTGAACACAAATTGTTTGTAACTAAAATACGATGTTTGGAATTTCTAGTTTATTGAAAAGCTACATATGTGCAGAAGCTCCCATATGTCAGATTACGAGTTAAAGGCAACACATGAAAAACAGCTTGAAATTCCAGCTTGAGACATTACAGCAGAAGATCTTTCCCAACACGCACTTTTTATCATCTAAAAACTTAAGACAACAAAGTGTGAATGATCACTGGTGTGTCTATTACATGGTGTTACAATGAATTAGTTTGAAGGTTCTCATCCTGAGTGTTCAGACGCTTTAAAAGTACTTTAATAAAGATCGTAAGAACTTCAGCCTCAAAGAAAGTAAAGGTTCTCCATGTCAGATGTTTAAATTGACTTTTTTATCAGTTCAGTAGTTATTAATGTCTTTGGGGAGAAGAAAGACCATTTCTGTTCCACCTCTGTACCTTTCAAAGTGCAGTATTTTCAGAATAGAAAATCAGACTAGAGAAATTGTTATGGCATTCAGAACTTGTGTTGCCTTGGACTACGGAGACGGCTGAAGTCATTTCAGAGATGTCTTCAGGGAAAAGTCCCGGGCATTTCCCCGCTTTCTCCGTGCGGTTCCTGATAGGAAGGCATTGTTATGATCTCCACACGTTTTTTTGCCCTTCCATACAATGGAAAAAGTGTCGCGATCACAGTGGTTGCCTGACGAAAATAGACAAGCTGTTCCAGGAGGAGTAGAACCAGACACTAAGCACCAATGCAGATATGGGGGCCTTGATCACAGCAGTCAAACAACATGCCAGAATAAAGTGGCTTCTTCAGAGAAGAGAAAGTGAAGGAAGGGCAGTGTTACTCTCCTCTTTGCCCCACAGAAATATTAAGAACAAAACTTAATCTTTCCTCGTGATAGACTGGACTTTATGCACGCAGGTGGACTGGGTGGTTATGGATCAGGAGACAGTGAAGATGAGAGGAGTGACAGAGGCTCTGAATCATCTGATACTGATGAGGAGGAATTACGACACAGAATCAGGCAAAAACAGGAAGCATTTTGGAGAAAAGAGAGAGAACAGCAGCTATTGCTAGAAAAACAGCTAGAAGGTAAATCGCCTGTTTTGTTGCTGTGCTGCTCCGTGGGGGTTCTGGTATTTAGAGAGCGCGTGTTAATCGTTTTGAGTGGAAGAACATTTTGAACCAAAAATATGAAGCCAAATTTAGAAATATTGTTCTTTAGTAAAATATTTTACTTATTTTTACTTACTTTACTTATTTTACTAAAGAAGAAAAGATGTTCAAGCAACTTCATAAATTTTTAGCACATTTTAGTTCTGAAAAGCTGCTTTTGGGTTGCACGCTCTTGTGCCCTTCAGAATGTACATCTGGAGGCTCTCGTTTCTTTGAACTTTCAGTTCAGTGTTGCACTTGTAACTGAGGTGTAACTGAGGCATGTGTCCATATGCTCTGCCTTCATAAATGGATTTTTGGGCCTAATACTGGGGACAGATTATTAAACCCCATCTCTGAAGATTATTGATCTCAAAGAACAATGTGTGATTTACAGTGGTTTACTGCTGCTTTATCCTGCAAGGTAAAGTATTCTGTTGTATCAATACTATAAAGAGGGCTATTGCAGTCAGGCTTGTCCTTGTATAACTGCAGAACAGTCTTGATGGACAGATGAATACAATAGTAATAAACCCACATAATACCCAGTGATCTAAATTCCTAATCTGGAGAAGAGAGAAAATGGCAGCATATTTATTTCTTGTTTTAAGATGGATAGTTTCCTTCATTTTGTTCTTATGTTAAACAGTTATTAATAGTTTGTAACTATTTGGCATTGGGGCTAATCTAAGTTATCTCTGGATAAAGCCATGAAAGGAATGGTTTCTCTCAATGATCCCTGCAGTAAAAAGTACTGTACAGACAGGATGTAGGACAGCTTTGGATAACAAGTCCTGCAGAGCACGCAGGCAGGTGCAGTCCACGTGGATCTGAGGTTGAGAGATGCTCTTTGGGAAATGCAGCTTCTGCAGAGCAAAGAGGGGGTAGCCTGAAACCCACGAGTGGACCCAGAGGAAGGCAGGGAGCACCCGTGTGGCCGGAGGAGGGGAGCAGGGGGGAGAAGGGGAAAACCGGGTGTGCGGGAGGTTGTCAGCAGAGAGTGGGTTCATGTGGGTGAACTAGGAGCGCTCGTGGCCCAGGGTGTTCATAGTCCAGAGCCACTGAAAATGAAATGTTCAGATAGTTCTAAAAGTCTCTGGTTTCTCCACTTTTCCTGAAATGGGGGAACAATCTTTTTAGAATTAAAACAACAACAGCAACAAAAGAAAACTCCAAGAAACAACAATTTGTTTGATAAGTGGTTTTATGGTGACAGTCTAGTAATTGTAAGCGTTTGGAAAGGTACTAGGAAATCTTGTTTTTTTTCCAAAAGTAATGGTGTGGAATTTTTTGACATATTACTTCTAATTACTTCAAAATGTATTTTTCTTTTTTTTTCTTTTACTTTCTTTTTTAGAAGAAAAGCTACAAAATGAAAAAATGTCGAAAGAGATGAATGAATTTATCAGCAAGGAACAAAACAGTAATTTATCATCACAGGAGGGAAAAGAAATTGAAGCAGATATGATTCACGAGAAGAAAAGATCTCCAAATGCAATCTCACTTGACTTAGAAGCAAAAAAAGAGGGTAGAGAAAAGGAGAGGACAGGCAGGAGTAGGTCCAGGAGCTCTAGTAGTGGTAGCAGCAGCAGCAATAGCAGAAGTAGCAGCAGTAGCAGCAGTGTGTCTAGTTCATCATACAGCACCAGCTCAGGTAGTAGTCGCAGTTCCTCACGTTCTTCCTCCCCGAAGAGGAAGAAGAGACATAGTCGCAGTAGGACCCCCTCACATAAGGTTAGGCGCAGCAGAAGCAGGAGCTACTCCCACAGGAACAGGAGAGAGAGAAGTAAAAGTAGGGAAAAAATAAGGGAGAGGAGAAGACCTAGTAGAAATCTGAGCATTGAAAGAGGGGAGAGACGCAGAAATCGAAGTCCTTCCCGGGAGAGGAGTTGGGACAGACGTAGCAGTCGCTCGAGAGACAGACGAATTATCCGAGCCAGCCGCAGCAGGAGTAGGGATAGGCGTAAGAGTGAAGACCAGCGTAGAAGTCCCCCTGGAAATAGGCACAAACATAAAAGTGATGGCAAAGACCAAGAAAGGAAAAAAGAGCAGGGTGGGAATACAGATAAAGACAGGAAAAAGAACCGAGAAAGGGAGAGAGATCAGGAAAAAAGAAAGGACAAGCCAAAAAAAGAAGAGAAAGAAATTAAGGCTGGCAATCATGATGACAGTAGGTTAAAGAGAAAAAGAGACAGTGAAAGAACTTTCTCTCGCAGTGATTCAATAACTGTGAAAATAGTAAGACAGGACTCCAGACAGGACAGCAAAAAAAGTTCTACCAAAGATAGCAAAAAACATTCAGGCTCTGAATCTAGCACAAGGAGTAGTTCTGAATCCCCAGAAAGCAGTAAAGAAAAGAAGGCCAAGAAATCGAAGCATATTCGATCATGCTCCGTGGAGAAATCTCAAAGGTCTGGTAAGAAGGCAAGCCGCAAACACAAGTCTAAGTCACGATCAAGGTAGTATAATTTTTAAGTATTTTGTCTGACTTTTTTTTTTACCTTTTTTTTTTTTTTTTTTGCTATTCGTCTTCATGTGTTCAGCATATGAAAGTTTCGTTTTTTTTTTTTAATAAAGTATGGTATTTATTATATTTCTTGTCTTGGGCAAAAGTAACTTTGGAAAGTCTTTTAAAACTATTAATTATTAAGCCTGAAGTGTGTGTGGGCTTGGGGGTCTTTTATTTTTTGCAATTAACTTTCTTCCCTTTCCCTTTATTTTTCAGATCAACGACTCCTCCTCGTCGTAAACGCTGAGGAATGATATGGCACAAGTGCTATGACGTTTAAAAATTCCATGAGTTATAAAAGGCTTGTCTCATTATAGAGGCACATTGTGGCTATGTAGGTGAAACCAGAATCCTTTTTTTTCTTTTTTTTATCTGTAAATAGGTGTATTTTTCTCCAAATGCTGCTCAGAATTAAATACCTAATAGGATTTCTTTGTATTACTTTTTTTTTTTTTTCGAGAACGGTAGTGCTTAATAAGAATATAAAACATGCCATTCTCTTTCAGCTGTAATGTTCTTAAATTACTCTTGAATGTACTGTGATGTCAATAAAGCTCTTTAGTTCATTTTTGTTAAAAATTCTTGCACCTGAATTTTGTGTTAAGTTGTAGAAAGTACTTTAAAAAAAAAAAAGGGCAGCTTTTTGGTATAACAAATTTTTAAAGTACTTGAAAAAAAAAAGATTTTAACATAAGACACTTGTTGAAGTATGTTATCCATGGACCTGATGAGATTAATCTGCTGGGTGGGGAATGTGGAGAACAAAGAATAGACATCTTATTTTTTTCTTTAAGTATGTGTAATAATTTTTTTAATCTCTTTTTTTTTTCTTTGAATATCAAGTGACATATGCTGTGTGTGTAAAATATGGGTCACTGTAATGCAAGCCTATACTTAAACAGACTGAACAGCCCTTCAGGAGTATGTGCAACTAAATGAAGTGTGACAGTGTTAAGCTCTGGAACTATATTCCTCACCCACTTGTATTTGATGCTCAGAGAAAACTTCTTGGACAGTCAGGGTTATTACAGGAACAAGACTCAGCATTTTAGATGTTTTCTTGAATATATGTATAAAGGGCCCTCAGTACATGTTAGAAAACTGACAATAGATAAACTTTACATTTTGGCACGTGCATCACGTGTAGTCAGCATTGAAACTGATTATTTTTGTTAGTGTTATGAAAATTGTGATTCCTGTTAAGTCAATACATTGGTTAAACAGCAACTTAACCAAAACTTTGATTTTAGTATTACCGTAAAGTGAAAGAAGTCTCTGATTACCTCCTTCTTCAGGAAATAAATCATTGTTAATAACAAGACTGTGAAATAACACTAATAAAAAGAAACAAACAAAGACCAGCCAAAACAACCCTAGGCCAGTGACTGTTACAGAATTTAGATAAAGATTAATGATCTGTGCCTAGAAGATCTGGTGTAGTAGCAATCGTGAAAAAGGCAAAAGGCGTAACAGCAAAGTGAGAGGCCTCTTTGAGGGTTATCTCCTAAAAGAAAAAAATATATGCTGGTATCAGCAATATATGATTTTGCAAAGCTTGCCTTTTTGAACAGATTAATTCATTTAACTAAAAGTAGAGTCCAGCTATGTAGCATTTTTGCCGATGTCATTTTTTTCATAAACGAGATGCAGAAATAAGTCTGGTGCTTTGGCAAAGAATCCATGTCTGTGCAATTATTAAGCAAGTTAATGGCTGGGAAATACATGCATGTTTATCAAAACACTTCTACAGCTAAGTAATCATTTAATTCAGTTATAAGTAATATGCCCCCTCCAAATTTGGGAACTTTTTACATGAAGTAGATTAAGCAGTCATACCTGATAGCAAAATAAGGCATAATTTGCAACATGCTACTTTTACTTGCATTAGTATAGATATAAATATTGAGATATCTCAATCAATACACTATTGGTTCCTGGTTAAAGGGAGGATTTTACTGAAGAGTAGGTAGTACAACTGTTCAGATATCATAGAAGGACTTGTTTTTGAGGAAGAAAAACTATTGAGGAATACAGTTTCCATGATGCATTGCATTTGGTTTTCAATTCAGATTTTATCTGTTCAATAATAATAAAAAAAAGATTGTGTATGAAGAGCTTTATATACTCTGCCAACAACTGGAATTTTGTCACTTCCTGTAAAAATTAAAATTATTTTTTGACACAAATGCACTTATATGGTTAGTGACTGTATGCCAATAAAAAGAGCATACAACCGCTGTATGTAACTGTTTCAGAAATCGTACTAAGCGCACCAGTAATTATCAGTACGTTGGGATTGTGTCAGCTTCACGTTCATATTATACACGTCATCATGTTCTGGTAATTCCGTTCTTCAGTGCTTTTCAAATGTAAAGGCTAAAATAACATCCAGTCTTGATGCCATATATTTTAAGTGATCTTAAATTGAGGCATATGCAAATATATACAAAGATGGTAATCGTAGAAAAGTCTAAATTCGGTTGTCATTATTTTAGATTTTAAAATAAGAATATTTTAAGAATACTCTTGCAGCCTAGGAGAGAAAGACATGCGGTGAGCAAGACATACACCTAAACGTTATGCAGTGACTCTGGGGGAATTGCCTTGAAAGTCTTTTTTAATATATAAATAAAGAGATGCTGTGGAACCAAGTGGAAAACAGTTTGCATGCAAGTATTGCTTGGGCCATAAATACAACAGAAACTGTAAGTATCCAAAGGTACACAGTATATAAATCTAAGACCAGGAACAGGCTGCTACAGGGATAAGCCAGGCAGTGGCAGTTAAATAAGACAGTCTTAACCATAAAGACTGAGCAACACCAGACTTTCTGAAATATGGCCTAGTAACAATTCCTGGCTTGGAAAATAAATTGCTCTCATTTGGGTCTTTGAGGGACGTTCTTTGGGAGCTTAAGAGAAAGAGTCTAGGCTGTTGCCAGTGGGCATGTAACTTGCTTGCTGGTTTTTTTTTGAAATTGTCTAATGACAATCTAGATATTCATTCTCAGTATTTTGCCTTTCCTTTGCTCAATAAGTGAAAAGTTATTAACTAATTTGCAAAGTCTAAAACAAAACAGTTTGTGGAAAGGCTTAGTTTTGAGTCTTAAGGAAACTTTCTTAGCATAAAGGTTTTCTTGGCTTTGAATTCTTATTCTTCAGTAGCTGTGCGACTCCTAATGACTCCTAAGTCTACTATGAGCTTTGTTGGATGAAAAGAAGGTGAGTAGGGAAGCTTTCCGCAGATGTAATAATAAGGTTTGTTGGGTATTAGTTGCTGCTGAGAGAAAACAACTTGGAGACTTTGCTGTAGTCCTCATTTAGTGGGTTTTCTTTTTTTCCTTTTTTAAAAATTCAAAATAGCATATTTTCAGAATATACTGTGCAACACTTTTTAATAGCAAGTTGTTTGTAACTGCAGTAAGAGCAGAAAGAAGATAATTCAAGAATACATTTGCCTTATCCAAGAACTAAGCTCCTGTGCATTCACTGTGAATTTGTTCAGGCATTGTGTATCTGATGGGCATCTGTATCGCTGTATGCAAGGAGAAGTGCAAAAAAACAAACACTGGAATGAGAAGCCTTCTTAGAGAAGGTAGCTAGACAAGGTTAGAAAGTTCACAGTGTTTTGTCATTGAATTATTTTAACTATGGATGCCAAGTTTATATCTGATTCAGGCAACATGAACGCTTGTATGAAGAAACTTGAGTGTCTCCTCAGTGTTACCAGCAGAAACATTCTGCAAGTGTGAAGGGGAATAGATCTACCGCTGGGCACAGATTTCATGAATGAGCCTTGTAGCTCCTCATAGTATCAGTTAATGAAGTAGACTTGGGTACAGAGAAGAGTGAGTTAGATCATGACCTCCCTGGTGTGGATGGCAGGGCATGGGGATGCTGCTGCTGGAGCCCTGCCAGGTCGCTTGCCTCAACCCCACCAGCTCAGAGATCCAAGTGCTTTGCTCTGTGGATCTGCCATCCGGGGACTGTTCATGTGCACCCTCGCCTGTCTCCAGAGAAAGGTGGTGAGTCTCATGATGTGTTTAAGTCCAGCTTTATTTAGCTCTAAGGCAATCCAGCTAACTAAAAAAAAAATAAGGCAGTTCTGGCAAATACTTGGATGCTGGTATTGATAAGTACGTAAGAGAGTAGACAGCTGCTAAGGAGTTGCTATTATAGTCTAAAGTTAGATGTAATATAAATAATAGTAGCATGAATTTTCTGAATAACTTCAAGGTTAAGACATAGCAACAAGCATTAGGAAGCTCAAATGTGCCAGCAGTGCTTTTCACAGTTAGAGGCTCGGTTTTGCAGGGAGGAAGGGTACTAGGGCCTGCCACAGTAGCGGTGTTATCAGGAAAATGTGTTTGGGCACTGCAGAGCTCGTGAGGGAAAAAAAATGCAGTGTGATTTCCGCCCCCGCGCCGCCCCGAGCTCACGGTGCTCGACAGAGCTACGCTGTGGGGTAAACGGTGCGGGCGCAGCGCCGTCTCCAGGCGCCTCCTCAGGAGGGCCGCGCGGGGCGGAGCGGCGCGGGCCGCGTTGCGGCCGGACGGCGGAGCACGCGCAGCGCGGCCATGGCGATGTGCG